TATTATTTTAAGGGTTATTATAAATTATTGCAGGTGTTTTTAATATTATTTTATCATTATATTTTCATTCTGTAACACCGTCAAGCCTTTGAAAATAAATTCTGTAATGACGATTTTAGAGATCAATGGTTAGAAGAATTAAGAGGATTAAAATAATGAAAAACTGAATCCGTTAAAGAATATTATTATTAGGTCATGAGAATAGCTACAAGAGCTACACTTGATGCAGTTCAGACCCTTCCCTATTTCATTAAAGGATTACTTCCAGAAATATAAGTTGTTGTCAAAACCCATGCTCCTGCCAACCTAAATGCCGCATTATTTAAAACTAAACAATATGAACAAGGAAAAGGAGAAGTCAAGAGACATAAAAAGAAGACTAAATATTATGAAAATTCCAGTGACGAATCTGATAGTAGTGAAAGTGAAGATGAGAAACCTAAAAAGAAAAAGAAGTTGTTCAAGAAGAAGAAAAATTTAAGTGACAAAGAAATAGACGAACTAACCAAATGCTTTAACAAATTACAAATCAATTTAATGCAACAAGTTGAAGGTTTGACCCAGAAACTCAGATATCAAAGTCAGAGAAGAAACAATAACTCTCATGAATTTAATAGAAATAACAATGACAACAACAATAATAACAATTATAATAGTGGACCTTGTAGATGCTACATTTGTAACGAAATCAGTTATTTTGCTCAAGATTACTTGGTAGAGAAAAAGCCGCAGCAGCAACAATCACAACAATATCAAATTCTAAACTGCAAGAATGTTAGCTATGTTGAGCATGACAATAATGATATTGAAGAACATGAAGCATATGAAGCAATGAGAAATAAATCCAATAACTGACCCTCACCTATTCGTAAACTAGGAAGACCTCCGAAAACTACTACTACCCCAAATTCACCTCCGTCAAAAGTTCAAGTACAAGAACCTGAAGTCCTAGTTGACTTTGAACAAGATCCATATAAAGAAGAACCCATGGAAGAAGTTAAACCAACCGAAGTGAAACCTGTAAAGAAACCTAGGATGAAACGTCAACCTTCTATTATTGATCAAATGACACCATATAACATTTCACAAGATATTTTGAACATGCAGGCAAGTGCAAAGATTGAACAATTGCTGAAATATCCAGACTAAAAAAAAAATATGTCAAAAATTTTGAAACGATCTGTTCAAAAGGAAACTAACCATGTTTAAACTAATGAAGTCAAAAGAACTACCGTTGCTAAATACTATGTCCACATTAAGAAAAATTCCATGATCGCTGTACTTGACTCTGGCATAGCAGTTAATATTACTGGTCGAAAATTGATAAAACATACATATATCGGGTACCCGATATGTGTATGTTTTATCAATTTTCAACCAGTGTAAGTCAAGTTAACCAAGAACTTCATGAGAAAATAATACGTTTAGCTCAATCAAATTGAGATTATAAGCATATAAATTACAATCTCGAAAAACAGATAGCTATATATGAGGAAAGAATCTAATTTTTGAAAAATGAACTTGAAAACATTATATCACTTTCTAGTCAAGAGAAAGAAAAATTACAGAAAGAAATCTCAGACTTAAAAAAATCGTTATATCAAGCTAAAAAGAAATCAGACAAAAAGAAAAGGATCTCGTCATTGAAAAAAATCAATTAGGTGAATTTGATGTCCGAGAAAAAAAGCTTAAGCATAGAATAAAAGAGCTATTGACATCAGGAAGAAATTCTCTACAAACTTATAGAAATAACTGATACAATAGAGCAACTTCGTAATGAAAATTAAACATTGCGACAATACTTTACAAATAGGAATAATCAAATAGCTTAGTAAAAAAGGCGTATTAGTGATTTTCATTGTCAAAATTTTACTATAAGATTATTACATCATCAAGATAAGTATGAGCTTCAAAATATGCAACATGCTTTATAAACAGCTGACGAGATGAATCAAAATTTATATAATATGTTTGAAGTACCTGAAGCAGGAACAAGTTTTTTGTCAGAGTTATCAGTAGATGATACATACTTTCAAAGAATAGAACAAGATCTCAAAGAAGCATTACAACCTGATGAAAGACAAAGTCATTTATATGACAAATAATGTCAATAAATATAATACGAAACTAAGTAAAAGATCTCAAATTTTATCAAATAAAAGTTCAAATTTTTCAGATACTATTATATTAGAAGAAATAACAACAATTCCAGAGTTAGCAAAAGCTATAGATAATTATCTAGATAATCCTAGAACAGACAGAAGGATTTTAATCAACCAAATAAAAAGAGCCACACAGCAAATTCGTCATAAATATACTAATCTTCAAACTGATCAAATAAATAAATAACGAGCTAGATACAATATTGAGGCAGAGCGAGATTTGCGACAAACTGATTTAGATAATGTCTTAAATGATCTTAACTTGAGAACTATAGCATATAATAATAAAAGAACTACATGTCAGCAATATTTTTTAGAGTTATAGTAATGTCATATTAGAATAGAAAGATACAAAGATGATTTATTATTATGTGATATTTAACTTGATCTGAAATAGGATAAGTGAAAAAATAGATTACAGAATGTTGAACAAATAATTTTAAATTTGCAAAGACAAATTTTATTACTATAGAATAATATTCCAAATTGAATAAACATGACCAATCCATTACCTACATATTCAGGTAAAGAAGATTTGCACAAATTTCTTATACAATTTAGAGCTGAAATAGAAGGAAGAGAAATAGATATTGCAGATGCAGCAGGTGACCCTCCAACTAGAAAGGATCATGCAAAAGGATTATTACGTGGATGTATGAGAGGAACAATATTAGAATGGTTTGATAAAAATATTACTACTAAGCAAAATTTCGAATTATATAACTTACTTGATAATATAGCACAAAGTACAATACAATTAGTAGCTAGATACACTGCGGTACAATTGGATACACAAGCACTTTATGAAGCAAATGGTTGTGCAGGTACAGACATAATTTCCTTAAGAGCAACATATGATTCTTGGAACAAAAATTGGAGCATAGTAAATAGACATTTAACTAATGATCTAGTTAATGTACACTGGTCAAAAATTAATAAAACATACACATATCAGGTACCTGATATGTGTATGTTTTATCAATTTTCGACCAGTGTTAGTAGATATTAAAAATTGGTTAAATAAACAGATTACTTTTTTGGTTCATAAGCTTTGATCAAAATTTATTCAGTATGCTTCTTTTGATAATATATAGAGATTAAATAAAATGCATCAATCTGATCTTACTTCAATGTCTTTCGATAAAATTGAAAATCGAGTTTTTAAATATAGACTTGTAATAAAAAATGTGATAACTAGATATTGAAAAAGTTGTGCATTAATCAATAAATTAGCTTCTACAGTTGCTAAAGCAATTAAGAAAATTTATGAGGATTTTAGTCATTCACTTTCTTGGTCTAACATTTTTAGAACTGATAAAGGTACTAAGTATTTAGTTGAGTATAAAGATTTATTATTAAGTCATGATGTATATTTCGATCTCAAAAAATCTAAATGTAATAATGCAATAGTTGAATGTGATTACCAAAAATTTGAAAAACATGGTTTCATTTGTCAAGATGCTGTAGATTTTTATTTACCTTTGTTTAATAAGTCTAGAGTATAGATTAAAGGGCTTTGTATAAATGATGATATTTACATTGGTCAAAAATTGATAAAACATATACATATCGAATACCCGATATGTGCATGGTATGTCACTAATATCAAGGGTATATCGAATACTCGATATATATATATAATATTTTTTATACCTATTGGGTACCTAAAGCTCTCAAGGGTTTGGTTCGGTTCAGTTTGAAACCGAGAACTGATCACTTAAACTAAAACTGAACTGAAACTGAACCAGATTAAACCGAACTGAACTGGTTATTTTTGATTTAAATATGATCGTCACTGGTGAGACAAAAATTTACACGAGTTTTTTTATGTTTTTTCAATTTTGCTTACGATTTACTAGTACAAAGCTAAGATATTTCTAAGATAGAAAGAAAAACCTTATTCTTAGCTACGAAATGGTATAATTTTCACGAAGTTATCTCTAGTTTAAAAAAAAAATGTCTGTGAAAATCGTGTGAAAAATTTTCATCCGATTTTTTTACAGGCGTTTTTTTAAACTTTGATAACTCCGCGAATATTGATGTTATTGGGATAAAACTTATATCATTTTGTAGCTAAGAATAAGATCTTTCTTTCTATCTTAGAGATATCTTATTAGAAAATCACTTTATGGTTAGTAAATCGTGAGCAAAATGAAAAAATATACAAATTTTTGCCTTTTAAAATTTATATTTCATTATTACATTTCAGTTAAGATTATATCGATTTTATATTAAATATTTTATTTATTAATAAAAAATAGATACAAATTTAATTAAAACTAATTTTAAAATTATATAAAATAAATTTTTGAAAAATTATATAAAATTAATTTTAAAATTATATAAAATAAATTTTTTAAACTATATAAATTAATTTTAAAAGTATATAAAATTAATAAAAATCAATAAAAAAAATTTACATAATTTAATTATTTTTATTAATCTCATTAAAATTCTCATTAATTTTATCAATATTTTCATCAATTTCATTAATTTTTTCATCATCTAATTTATACCAACCTTTCAAACACATGTATATTCTAATGGTATTTGAATTTAAACTGCATCTTCTTTGTGTTACTAATCTGTACCTCCTGAGAAAATTCGTTCAACAGGAATACTAGTTCCTATTTAAAATCAAATAAAAATATAAATTTTAAAAAAATGAGAAATATTATTTATATAATATTAAAAATTATATCTTGAATTGAAAGATAATCACGAGTCATCTTTGAAAGATTAGGAAATTCTAATTCATGTAACTATAAATAAATAAAAAATAAATTATATATATATCAATATTTAATATTTAACATAAATTTTTATATTTAATATTATACCTTCCAATATGATAATGCATCTATTTCAAAATTAGATACAAGTTCTTTTAAATAAGATTTCAATTCATCTTTATGTATTACTTTTTGCTTTTTAAAAATATAATTAGTTAATACTGTTTGTTTTGATGTCAATATATTTAATTCCTGATTTTCATCAGGTTTATATTTACTTTTCCATAGATCAATAATTTGTTATTTATATATTTTAATATATTTAGGATCAAAATTATTTTCTTTAAAATAAGTCAATTTCAAATGAGGATCTAAAACTATTAAAATATAAAACAAAGTATTAATTATTAAAATTTAAATAAATATGAAATATAAAGTAAATATCATACTTGTTGCAATAATATATACTAAACCATCAGAAGTTAGATAATAATCTTCAAGTTTTTGTGTTGAAAGATTTATAGTATCATTTACATCAGTTGAAAATTCATTATTTTGTTAAAATTCTTTAATATTATTAAATAGAAAATTGTAAACTGGAACAGTTTAACCTAAAATAGAAAATTTTAATATACTTATTTTCAAGGTAACATCTTTAAAATACTATAATAAATTATAATTAATATATTTTTATCAAAAAATATTTATTTTTAATATTATAAATTACAATTAATATATTTATCAAAATCATTATTTTTAACATTAATTATACCTTTAATAAATCTTTTATATTGTTTAACTTTTTCCATTCTTCTTCATTTAGCAAATATATAGAAAGATTATTATCAACAGATGCCATATTATAAAGTGACTAATAAAAAAATATATTTAGATATAATAAAAATTAATATTCAGTAATTAATATAAATTCTTTTTACCTCATGAAGAAATATTACTCTCTCAATCATATCATATGTAGAATTTCACCTGGTTTTTATATCAGGAATTAATTGAAGTTCCTTTATATTAACAGCTTTGCATTGTTAATAAAATCATTCACATCGTAATGGAGAGGCTCTAATTTTAATCACCAATTTTCTTAATTTTGTTATAACTCCTAAAGAAGATTCATTAATAAATTCTTTTAATATATCTTGTTCATTTTCTGGTCTCAATCCTTGTAATGCTTTTAGAATAGTTTGAGCAACAAGGTTAATTATATGTGCAAGACATCGTACATGTTGATTTTCAGAACTAAATGTAATTCTTTCATCAGCACAATAAACATCCAAATAATTAAATATTGTATCTATATTAGATGCATTGTCAGTAGTAATTCCTAATATCTAATATACATATTAATAAATAAATATATTTAAATAATCAAAAAATAATATAACAAAAATAAACTAACCTTATTCAAAATTCCATATTCTTTTATTGTATTAAAAAAAACTCTTGCAAGATTTTTACCTGAATGTGTTCTTTCTAATAGTTGAAAATTAAGAATTGTATTTTTTAATTTCCAATTTGAAGAAATCCAATGAGCACTTATTCCAAGAAAAGGTATTTGATTTTTTGAAGTCCATACATCTAAAATAAAAGAAATACAACAGGAAATTTCTTGTAATTATTTTTTAATTTTTTTTTTCATTTTCAAAAGATTTGGAAATATTGTTTTGAACAATATTACTAGAAGGTAATGTAATATTTGAATTAAGTCTTTTTATCATGATTTTAAATGATTTTTTGTCAACAACAGTAAAAGATTGATCATCAGCTACAATCCAGTTTATTAAATCTTCTGTCTAATTTTCTTGAGTAAATATCTATTATTTATTTAAAATTAATATTAAAAAATAAAGTTTGAAGAATTAACCTCTTTCAATCTCAAGAACTACTTTCTAAACTTGATTTTTGTTACTAATTAAACATATTTATCACATTTATTTAAATTTTCATGTAGATTGAACAAATATTCACGCAAAAATTGATGATTTAATCTATTTTTAAAAAATGTCAATTTCTTCACAAATATTTGTTCAATCTACATGAAATTTAAATAAAAATTCTACTAAATGTAATAAATATATTTAATTAGTAACAGAAGTAGAGTTTAGAAAGTTGTTCTTGAGATTGAATGATAATTTTGTATGTTTAATAATTTATATATGCCAATGTTTTTTTTGATTTAATAAATTTGTTCAATGGTCTAGATGTAGATACTTCTTAATTCAAATGTTTATGTTCACGAGTAATATGGCTTCTTAATGTAGAAGTTGAACTATCTTTAGCAGCTTTATAACTTTTGCTAAAATAAAAGAGTAAAAAGCATAAATATTTAATATTTTATATAATTATATAATAAACATATATCTTTTTTTTAATACTCACATGTAATGATTACAATAGTATCTATTTTCCTCTTGATTTAAAGTAAAAAATTAATATATAGAAGTTTTTTTTTTATTATTGTTATTATTACTATTATCACTATTATTATTAATTACTGTTAAATTGCTACTACTTGCTTCTGTTAAATTATTGTTACTGATCTCTCTTGATATATTTGAAACTGATAATTCACTATTTTCTACATTTTCTTGTGAATTTCCTGATTCAATATCACTTATAATCTTGACTATTATAATTATATAAAAAAATAATTAAGTCAAAAAAATCTAGATCGTTATAAAAATAGATGGTGAAACCATGATGATCAAAATTAATATATAAATTTAAATTTTCGGTTTCGGTTTCAGTTTTTCGGTTCAGTTTCTATGAATAAACTGAAACTGAATTGAACTTGAACCAAAATATTCGGTTTGTAAATTTAATAAACCGAAACTGAACCGAACTGAAACCAGTGAATCAGTTTTAGTTTGAATCAAACTGATTGAGAGCTTTAATAAACTATTACCAGTTTTATAATAATGACCTACTAGTTTTGTAATAAGGCTTATTACGTAAACCATTTTTATATATATAAATAATAATGTTGTATAACAGAATATTTTATTTTTAATCTAATTTTCTTACAGATTTGATTATCGATCCTCAACAAATTCTTTCTATATAATATTCCTTTCTTTAATATAATGAGGAGTATCATACTTTAAAATATTTTATGATTACAAATTCTTTTACAATAATGTGTTTCATGATATTTTCTTTGTTTGAGGTGTCATATTATTTTCAAATAAACTTCTTTTTTACAATAATTAAAATATATTATATATATTTTTATGATTTAGAAATTTTATGAAATTCTCCTTGAGGAATTCTCATTATCTTTGATTAAATATGTGTTTTAATATAGATAATTGTATTGTATCAAATCATAATAATGTTGTATTACGTTTTAAATCAATATTAAATAAGTAATAAATTTTCAAATATGAAAAATTATAATCATTAAATAACGATTGTAATTTATAAGCATTAAAGTATTTAAATTAATCAAATTTCATTATTTTATTAATCATTCCTTTCAATAATTAATTTAATAGTAATAATGGCTTTTGCATGTCCTTTTTGTAATCGTGTTCTTTCAAACCGTTCTGCTTATAATCAGCATGTAAACGGATGTTCCAAAAATTATGATTTAAGTAATTCAAGTAGTTTTGAAGAAATTTTTATTTAAAATGAATCTGATATCATTATGTCTGAGCAAGAAGTAATTAATATTAATAAAATATTATAAAATTTGTCATATAATATTATTAATTTTTAATAATCCTTTATTTATATAAGATAATAGCGAAGATAATTGA